TGAGACATCTGTGGCGCTTCGCCTTCCCTAGTACAGTGCCCTAATGCCACATGTATAAAAACACCTGCATCGCCCAGGCATTGTCTATTAAATGTCCATCGGAAAACTGATTCCTCGGGTCTCGGGCTCCTAGGTCAGTGCGTTGTCGGTCTTGCAGAAGTTCTGGCTCTGGAGAGGACAGTTGGACAACGCCGTGCAGTCGGGCGAGCCACTTGCATTGCGCGCTCACGTCGATGTACGCAGCGTACTTCACGCACTTGCCGTCGAGAGCCTGCGCATCTCAGCTCGACTTTCTGCCCGGCGGGCAAGCTCGCGGTCACTCCACCGCGATTCGTTCGAACCGAGAAGGGTAAGGTTAGTCGCAGATGCAGCAGAAGGCCACTTAGTCACAACTGCTTGACCAGAGGCCAGTAGTCACAACTGTTGCACCAGAAGGCCAATAGGTCACAACTGATTGACCAGGCCAAGGCAGTAGTTCACAACTGTTGACCAGAGGCCAGTAGTCACAACTGATTGACCAGAAGGCCAGTAGTACCAACTGTTGCACCAGTAAGGATTCGTAGTCCAAACTGGTTGAACCAGGAAGGCCAGTTTAGTCACAACTGTTGACCAGAAGCGCAGTAAGTCACAACTGTCTGACCAGAAGGCCAGTAGTCATCATAACTGTTGACCAGTAGTGTCAGTAGTCACAAACTGTTGACCAGAAGGCCAATAGTCACAACTGTTGACGAAGGCCAAGTGTCACCAACTTGTTTAGACCAGTAGGCCAGTAGTTCACAATCTTTGGACCGAAGGCCAGTAGTCAACAACTGTTGACAGAGGCCAGTAGTTCGACAACTGCTTGCACAGAAAAAGGCCAGTGTCACAACTGTGACAGAGGCCAATAGTCACAACTGTTGCCAGAAGGCCAGTAGTCACAACTGTGACCAGAAAGGCCAGTAGTGATAACTGTTGGACAGGAAGTGTCAGTAGTCCACAACTGTTGACCAAGTAAGGCCAATTAGTCACAACTGCTTGACCAGGAAGCGCAGTAGTCACAACTCGTTGACAGAAGGCCAGTAAGTCATAACTGTTGACCAGAAGGTCAGTATCACAACTGTTGACCAGAAGCCAATAGTCACAAACTGTTACCAGAAGGCCAGTAGTCACAACTGTTGCCAGAAGGCCAGTAGTCACAACTCCTTGCACAGAGGCAGTAGTCACACTGTTGACAAGAAGGCCAGTAGTCACAACTGTTTTGAACAGAAGGCAATAGTCACAACTGTTGACCAGAAGCCAGTAGCAACAAACTTGTTGACCACGAAGGCCAAGTAGTCATAACTGTTGACCAGAAGGTCCAGTAGTCACACTGTTGACAGAAAGGCCAAATAGTCACACACTGTTGACCATGAAGGCCCAGTAGTCACAACTTGTTGACCAGAAGGCCAGTAGTCACAACCTCTTGACCAGAAGGCCAGTAGTCACAACTGTTGACCAGAGGCAGTAGTTCACAACTGTTGACCAGAAGGCCAGGAGTCACAACTGTTTGACCAGAAGGCCAGTAGTCACAACTTGATTGACAGAAGGCCAGTTAGTCACAACTGTTGACCAGAAGGCCAGTAGTCACAACTGTTGACCTGAAGGCCAGTAGTCGTAGCTGGTCACCAGAAGGCCAGTAGTCACAGTTTGTGTTTAGAAGCGTAGAAGAAGGCCAAATCAATGTAGTAGTAGTAGCAATAATAATAATCATAATCATATTCATAATAATAATGACTTCTGTCATTCAACGTTGTATGTCTAACATAATTTTGTCAGGTTTGCATGATGCATATATATTATGACTGTATCAAATGATTTTATATATATGTGAATCAGTTTCTATTCGTGCATTATGGTAATGATTTTACGTGTACAAATACCTAATTAGAATCTTAATGAGCTCTAGGTACATACGTTCATTAGCTACACTACGTTTAAGCAAGAGCATTGGTGCTCATTATTATGATCATTATTTTTTTCTCTATCCCCTATTGATTTTATTCGTGTACTTTGGTTAGTAACGCAGTTTTCACACAGAGCACATTTGCGGGTAACAGTACTGCCAGCTATTGTGTGAATAAAATGGTTACATGTTACGTAGCTTCAGAAAAGCCCTGAATTAACCGACATGCTATATGGAAGCTCTATATGTAATTTGCGTTGCTCAATTGATTTTTATGGCACTCACAAAGATAAAGATACAATTATAGTTACAGGTAAGTAGTAACATGTAGTTAACGGCCCTGTATTTGCTCCATAACGAACATTTTAAGAACGCTTAGCAAGCAACACCCCTGGTTGTTTCAATTGCAGGAGTCAAGGGTGAGAGTGAGTGAGGACTACGTCTGGTCAATGGATGACCTCTTCCCTGTGTTCCAGTATGTTGTCGTGCGCGCGCGAATACCACACCTGGGCTCTGAGATACACATGATCGGTGATCTCATGGAACATCATCTACAGTTTGGAGAGATGGGCATCATGTTCACCACTTTGCAGGTACAGGTGCAGCTGTTCGCAAGTTTTAGTTAGATATTAGAATATAATCAATAAACACCACACACAAAACATACGTTAGGTTAGTTTTTAGATGCAGTCATGACATAGTCAGATGCAGCTTGTAGAATCGCATGATCGTCCGTCCGTCCGGTCGTCCGGTCCGTCCGTCCGTCCGCGTCGCTCGTCCGTCGTCCGTCAACAGTGGGCACAAATCTGTAACGCCTCGACGTACGGTCTCGAATTCGGGTCGTTGGGTGGGGATCGTAAAACGAGTTGGGATGTCGAGCTGGGGGTCAAGGTCAAAGGTCAAGAGGTGTAAAAAGGGAAGGGGGAACATTCAACTCCTTAACTTAAGGATATAGGGAGGAAATGCAGAATTGCCGCACAAATCTAACGGCTCGACTAGGCTCGTGATAGTCGGTGTATAAGCATCATGGTAGGAAAAGCATCACTGTGCTGTGAATTGGAGGTCACAGGTCAAAGGTCAAATGGCACAGGGCAGATTTTAGACATTTTTCTGAGGACATGGTCTGACGGAGCGATTGAAAACTTTTTGTTTCAGCGGTGACCTAGGCATTATTTTATGGCTTTATTGAAAGGACCATGAAATGTCCCTTCTGCTGACATGCGAAGAGTAAGTGTCGGATAACCATTTTTGACCCTCAAGAGGAGGGTTAAACATGGATTGTTGATGTTAACAAAGGAGTGAACTGCTTTTGCCTTATTAGAGCCCCCTCACCCACCTCCCTCTTCCCCTCCCCACCCCTCCCCCGCCCTTCCCCCACCTCCCCCACCCCTCCCCCCACCCTCCCCCTACCCTCCATCTGCGATAGTGGGCGTGTCCTAACAATGATGTGTACGCAACTGCGTGTCTGCCATATCTGCGCCTAACAAATGTGGTACTACGCACGACTGAAATTTTACGTTTTAATTCGTAGCAACAGACCTCAGATGAGCCCAGACGCTCTGCGGCTCTCTTGTTCTATATCAGAGCATTATGAATAAGTAGTGTAGATCGCATTCTAAATTCGCAAAAGTTGTTACGTTTGCTGAGTGAAGAAGGATGGCTTCCTTTTAACAACGTTTTAGTTAAAATACCATGGAATGTAAAATAATGTTTAAAAATTCATAAAAAATGTACTGTGAATTAAAAACACGTACAAGGTGTATGCCAAATGTGGGGCTTATTTATTTCGATATCTCTTTTCGTTTTTAGGCATGTTACTTCCAGATTCAAAACGAGAAACTGTCACACTACACTTGAGGTTTTGACGTCAACGACCCTGCTGTTTAGAGCACCACCATGTCAGTAAAGATTGCTCGTACACAGTTGGTTTTTTAAATCTGTCACCACATGAAATTATGCGGGTGACATGATACAGTTGATACCGGTGGTTTTACATTGGAGTATGTTCGCTACAGATAACATGATATCAGGAGTGAATAATAACAGATGATTATATTAATATTCTCATTATATTATATTATATTTTATTAATATAGATGATCTATTATTATTCACTCCTGATGATATCGTTATTGTATAGTGATATATGGAGGAATGATACGGACATATAGTGATACGGTGGAGCAAGTAGCTCTGCCATTGCATGTGCTGGTCATTTACTTGAATAAAATTGGTAGTTTGATTCAAAGTTGATCATCCTTTGGTTAGTCTGTTGACATATATTTTATACGTATATATAGATTACTGATACTGTTTTCTGATTTATTTTATATCACACTGGAATATGTGACAGATGTTACTGTGTTGCATTATATGAGTCATCTAATGAGTGATGCCTTCATACTATTGTCAACAATTTGTAGAGAGCGTACAGCAATGACATAGTGCTAGAAGACTTTATTTTCTATTCAATATAAAGAAAAATTTTAATAGTCTCCGGCTGTGAACTTAATTATATAAACTCAATCATATTATACTTTTGTTAAAAGTTAAGTTGTTATGGATTTAGCTATATTTAATTATATTAATATTGATGCATTATTTAGAGCAGCTGCTAGGAAAGACCGCAATGTAAGAATGAAAGTAAATTTATTTATTTACCCTCTCAATTCTATTGTTTGTAGCTTGTATTATTATCGTAACCTCTATTTCGACTGTGATTACTCATAGATGATGACAGTGAGAAGCATGTAGGAGGGACACACCTCCTGATTGCTTTATCGGAGTGGCTGATGTGGCAAAACTTGATCAATCGGCTGACAAAAGTTGAGGAAATAGAACTAGTTGCTATCAGCTTGTTGAGCACTCAAATTTTCGTTTACATGCCGACTTTCGGTTGATTAGTTAACGGTGAAAATCGAAAAAATGATCAACACGTCCAACTTTTCAACAGAAAGTTGATACTGTAAACCCAGCTTTAGGGATACAGATATTTCTTTTTGGCTTGCTTGCGCCACAAACTATTGGCATATGTACTTTGTACGCATATTCGGTCGAACACATTTGATACTTCAGCTTGCCATTGGAAAACAACCTTAACGCGCGTTATTTTATTTGATGATCGGGATTGGAACGCGATATTTTCTGCAAAACAAACATGAGGTAACATTGTTAAACAACCCTAAACTGACAATTCTCGGCTTTCAGCGGAATCTGAACGCAGATGGGCTCATAAAATATTTGTAGAACTAAACACATATGCGTCCGTGCGTGCTTGCCGTCGTGTGCCACGTCGACTGCGTAAGATACAAATACGCACGCATGTGCGGCTGGGATATATTCACCGCCTAATCAGGACCACCGCTTTATCGGGACATTTTTATGGTTCCCGATCCATCCCGATAAATCGAGGACAACTGCAATAGTACGTATCGCTAGAAGATTTCACTTTTACAAGAAAAATATCAATATTACATCATTCATGCGGCCGAATATGAAAGTAGAATCATGAGCAGCGGCGCTATCACCAAATGATTCCCCGATATGTTAAGTATATCTCGTTTACAAGTCTACATTCTAAGTTTACATCTCGTTTACTGTCAAGATTTGTGGATTCTCCAATTTTTTATAGATACACTTTTACCGGTGGTTATTGACTAAATGCTACGTCAACACACATTTGATCAATTCAATATAGCCCATGCAATCAGAAGAAGTTCAGGCACGGACGCCTATCTCCCCGTCTCTCTCTCTCTCTCTCTTTCTCTCTTCTCTCTCTCTCTCTCTCTCATCTCTCTCTCTCTCTCTTCTCTCTCTCTCTCGCGCCGCGCGCGCGCGCTTTCTCTTCTCTCTTCTTTCTCTCTTCTCTCTCTCTCTCTCTCTGCTCTCGCTCTCTCTCTCTCTCTCTCTCTCTCTCTCTCTCTCTCTCTCTCTCTCTCTCTCTCTCTCTCTCTCTCTCTCTCGCTCTCTACACGCACACTACTACTACTGCGAACGCTTTCCGACCATAGCAGTCATTGCGCCCACCACTCCTCGCCTCCAGAGCTCACGATCATTTGCCAGTAGACGTACGTTGTTCCACACGTCACTACTAATAGGGAAATTTTATTCTCTCAAGATCTTTCTTCACCACATCGAACCACGTTTGTTTTTGGTCGTCCGGGATCCCTTCGCACAGGTCGAAAATACTCAGCCATTGCTTTCTGAGCTGGAGCTGTTGGGGGCAGTCTCATCGCATGGCCCAGCCATCGGAGTCTCCTGATTTTAATGGTAGCGCTCCATGGGATGGTGTTGATCTTCTTATAGAGTATCTCATTTCTGACCTTGTCCAGTAATTTTATATGTAGGATCTTCCGCAGGAAACGTCTGGATGACATCGACTCTGTTCTCCAAATGTGCCGTGAGCACACATAGCTCACTGTTATAAAGAAAGACGCTGGAGACGAAAGCTTCAACAATACTAAGTTTAATTTCCAGAGATATGTAGCCAGAAAAGAGAATATTTTTCAGTTTGTTGAAAACATCGGTAGCTAGGTGATGTAATCCCATTCATATTTTCACATTTAAATTATTGATCAACGTCGACATATTTATATTTGGCTTGCTTGCTCCCACAAACTATTGGCATATGTACTTTGTACGCATATTCGGTCGAACACATTTGATATTTCAGCTTGCCATTGGAAAACAACCTTATAACGCGCGTTATTTTATTTGGATGATCGGTATTGGAACGCGATATTTTCTGCAAAACAAACATGAGGTAACATTGTTAAACAACCTTAAACTGACAATTCTCGGCTTTTCAGCGGAATCTGAACGCAGATGGGCTCATAAGATATTTGTAGAACTAAACACATATGCGTCCGTGCGTGCTTGCGTCGTGTGCACAGTCGACTGCGTAAGATACAAATACTCACGCATGTGCGGCTGGGAATATATTCACCGCCTAATCAGGACCACCGCTTTATCGGGACATTTTTATGGTTCCCGATCCATCCCGATAAATCGGGACGACTGTAAATACGTATTCGCTAGAAACAAGATTTTTCTTTTACAGAGAAAAATATTCAATATTAGCATCAGTTCATGGCGGCCGAATATGATCAATTAAAATGCAAATTATTGATCAACGTCGACACGCAAAGAGGCAATAATAATGCAAATATAGACAATAAGCACGTAAACGGCTGCTCCTGCATGTTGGCAGCGTCGCCAGCGACAGCAGAAGCGTTTTTTGTCGCCGTCGCCGTCGTTATGATCTTCAATCATTTTTTATTTAAATCAAGCTAATTTCGCGCATGCAATGAATCGAGATATATATATATATATATATATATATACGCGCGTGCGTGTGTGTGTGTGTGTGTGTGTGTGTGTGTGTGTGTGTGTGTGTGTGTGTGTGTGTGTGTGTGTGTGTGTGCGTGCGTGCGTGTGTGCGTGTGTGTGTGGATGGATGGATGGATGGATGGATTGACGGACGGACTGACGGACGGACGGACATGCGGAATAGATAGATGCATGCAAGTCATTCCCCCGAGGCGCCCGACAGATGTTTTGTTCTACGATGGGGAGAGGTTAGACTCATTTTAAAGCGCCTTTTGAGTTTTCACCACTAGCCTAAGAGTAAACGTCTATACGCGTGCATGACAGGTCTTGCAATACACGGCCGGTTACCTGGAGCGTGCTTATGCCGCTAATGCACCGCGTCGTTTACATGAACAGCCGGTGGTCCATTTACTTTTAACACGCTAACGTCGAAAGCGAAACGACAAAATGAGTGGCAAGATCAGATGGCAATGGCAGATGAATGTGCATTCGTCTGATACCGCGCTAAAGGTACTCATCGTGCATTTTGCCATTGTCATAGAGTAGACAAAGTATATTGTTATATATAGAAAGTATATATATATATATATATATATAGTATACACAGACAGTATATAGTAGTTAAAGCAAAGAATCATCGCGTGAGCAAAGTGGATTTCTCTGATGTATCTAAAGACCACCACTACACACCGTATAAACACAAAAGCTACAAGCATGTGTTATTTGCCCTGAGATATACAAACTAACACAAAAATAGCGATTAGTTTATCAATGAGCGGATATTTTTCACTTCACATCCTGCACAATTGGTCAATTAATATGTTATAGGTGGTCATTATAACTGGGATAGATTATTTATAATGAAATGATAATGAATACATTAGAAAAGATCTCATATGACGATAGGTATCATCAGTCCTTACTAACATATGCGCATTTATTAAAATCTGTGAAGACGTGAATAGATTTGAAGTTATTTTAATTGTTCGTACATATCAACTGCCACTGACGTAAAGAATGTCACTAGAGTGCTCATGGTCAAGTAATAAACACGGGCATGCCGAACGCTAGCATTTCAGTTAATTCAATTAAATGTTAGCTATGAAATGCCATGTAACGTAGACGCTGAGAAAAATGATTTGTTTAAATCCCTGACGCCCTACGCTATATTACCCATAATGCCAATGACCGTACTAATAATTATTTCTTATGCTTTAATTCTTCCTAACATTTAATTTTCTTATCTCTGTACATATTAGTTTATTATTACATATGTTCCTTTAGGAAACTGAGGAAGTGACAATAATAAAACCAGTCGTTCACACGACTGATATTTAGATAATCATAAAAAGTAGAATAAAAGGAAAGACACGCATATGGCGCCCTCAAAACAACAGGGTGATCGTCAGTTGTGGCAGAAATGATCAAGGTCAGTCACAGATAGTGAACCATGAAGCAGATTGCGAAGGATAGGCAGGAATGGTAGACCTAGGCGCCACCATAGCATAAAATTAAGATGGATGGATACACGCGAAGCTTGCGCATTACATAGCATAGCGATACATACATATTAAACAGGTTGTGATCGTTATTATAATAGAAATGTGAAAATCACACATTTACATACGTCGTGGTGCTGAACATATAAACACACAGAAATGCACACACGAATACACGTACGCACGCACGCACATACAAACATACATATAGATAACAATAGCTAGATAGATGAATAGATGGATGGATGGATGGATGGATGGATGGACGGATGGACGGACGGACGGACGGAGATAGATAGATAGATAGATAAATAAATAAATAGTTAGATAGATAAATAGATAGATAGATAGATAGATAGATAGATATATATATATATATAGATAAATAGATAGATAGATAAATAGATAGCTATAGGTGCCGAATTATGTAGTCGATCGAACCACGAAGTTTCTACGTGATCGTTTCAACCTGCTTGATCGTCTCCCCTGTGGCCGCGCGATAATTCGAAAAGCGCGCTTTCTGCATGGTGATTCCTTCCGTGTGGGTAACCATCGAAGAAGGAGCCACCTGGGCTCGTCTCGGGCACAATATCTGCTTGTAGGCGTTGCGGAACTGCGCGTTGGTGGCGCCATAGAGAATGAAGTTGACGCCACTGCTCGTCGCGTGCGCCAGCTCAATCGAGATGGCGTGCCAGATCTTCGGAGCCTTGTCGTAGATATCGAAGACGACGAGGAAAGCGTACGAGCCCCAGCAGATGAAGAATGCGATGAAGATGATGAAGAGCGTACGCGCTAACCGGATCTCGTCGCGCTGGGCCTTGCTGTTGCGCGCGGTTGTCGGCGTGGTGCCGGCGTTCTCCGCCAGACGGAGTTCTTTCTTCTTCGCGCGAACGAAGAGGAAGATCTTTAAGTAGCAGATGAAGACGATGCCGATGGGAATGAAGACGGAGGTGATAGCGAAGAAGAGCGTGTACGAGTACTCGTACGTGCGGTCGTACAGGCAGATCATCGCTTTCTCGTCGTAGCCGTTCGAGCCCCAGCCGAGCGTCGTGGGAATGTCGATCAGGATGCTGGCAACCCAGATAGCGACGCATAGGAGCGTCGTGTTTCTCCACGTGAAGATCTGCGGGTAGAGCTGATGTTTGCAGAGAGCGATGTACCTGCATGGACGCACAAGTATCTGAATATTAAAGCATCATGAACATCATCTGCGCACAACGCGCTTTTCGTCTCATGCAACATAAAATATTTGTAGGTAATTATAATTTATATACAATCAAAACACGATAGATGTGCGGGGGCCTTATAACGAGCCCGTTGTCAGAAACTTTGGCAGAACTTTCTTTAAATATTTCTCGCATACCGTTGACAGAAACATCGTAAAGTTACGAAAATAAAAAAAATCATAGCAAATTTCCTCCTGGCCTGACGAAACAAAATTCTGTCAACCATCTACGAGAAAAAGTTCATAATGATATTAATGTTAAGACTAATAATTATGTTTCTGACAACGGCCGATATGATGGCGATATTGCCATGATTTTACTAGATTATCCGATGGGCTTATTGTCTATATACTCGTGCGCTCGTACTCCGTGCATGCGCTCACGCGTACGTATATGTGTGCGCATGCGTGTACGTGCGCGCATGTGAGTACGCGCACGCATGCGTGTGCATGCATATGTGTACATGTACGGTCGCGTGTACACCCATGAATGAATGCGCGAGCATTTGTACGTGCCCGCTTGCGTGTATATTCGGGAATGAGTGTAAATGCGAGCACGCGCATGAGTGCCTGAATAAGGCTTAACTTTTAGTTCTTGTCTTATTTGTTCGAATCGCGCAGTGTCCCTATGTCCCTTCTTTGGCCATGTTCGCGTTACCATGTACACTGTGATTTTAGGCAGACCTCGTTAAGTATAATAGTACCGTAATTTATTTTCGCTCTTATTTTAGCAGCTGGGGCTGATGAGTTGACAATGACAATTTTGTCTAAAAATTTATCGGTTACATCTCTTTTTATCGAGCGCGCATTTTAAAACTTGCTTCATTCTGAATACCTATATCGCTTTGAATTCGGTGAATATTAGCGCAAAGTCTGAAGCAACCAAATACTGATGTATAAACTTATGATAAATCATAATGATGAATTTGAGCGTTATGTACGAATGACAACAAAACTCAAATTATCGAAATTGTCATTAGTGTTTGATACACGATGCAAGTAATATTTTGGGGTTGTCATATTATATCCAAGTAAGTGCACTGATCATAAAAACAATCGTAGACAACGCGACTGAATTTTTTTCTGAGATCGTTTCGGCTAGTTACTGATTTTCCGTTGACGAAGGCGGCTAAGCTTCCGTAAAGGAGTAGGGGAGGTGTAGCCCAACTGCCTCCCTTCAGTTTCAGCATCTTACCTGAGTACCTTATCGTAATGCAAGGTACTATTATGAACCATTTGGTTCTATTATTTTGTAAACGTCGTTTTCATCATTTTTCGTCGATGTCGTCGTCAGTTTCGTTAGCGTCATTGTCGATGTCGTCGTCAATTTCGTTAGCGTCATCGTCGATCTTGTCGTCGAACGCCGTAATCTCTCCTTCCTGGTGGGGGCTGTTTTCTCGCACACATAACTCAACATTGTTCTGTGATCCAGAGATTCCGATTTAAGGTGGTTAGGCTCGGAGAGGGGAATAGCTGACAGCAAGAGTGGCGGCGAAGTGGCGAAAATGACGACAAAGACAAAATCGACGACGACGTCGAAAGAAACCACGATGAGGCCGATAAAAAATTGTAATGACAACGTCGACAAACGTGCCGACGACGTCGATAAAAACGTAACGGTGCCAGCTTAACGAACTCGCTGGTGTCGCCGTGTTTTAACCTGTCGGCGCTAGTAATTATAGGCACGTGGACGAAACATGACGACGACGACAATAACATAAAAAGTAACGGCGACGAAAAATAGAGTGCGGCAAAACACCTCGCGTGAGAAAAATTTCATTAATTTTAAACGAAAATCTTGATTAGCTTCTTACTCAACTATTTACATGTGCACGTTTACCAAATAAACGACCGTTTCGTTTTTTGTCTACATTCACATACGTTTGTACAGAAACATTCAGTTACATTGCTTGGCAATTTGATTTCGTATTAAAGTACAACGGCAGGATAATATGACAAAGTCAAACTGATATTTTATTTTTTAACAAATGGGCAATCAAAACAATGATACGAGTGTGTATAATGTGTATAAACTGCTCTTCAATATACCACAATGATAACTCATATGATGAACTCGGCCGTTATGCACTCTTGTTATTATGAAGAGCGAATAATACCTTGTATGTATAATAAGCTCTTGTTATTATACATATATGTCACATTAGGGTATCTTTGTGCCGTCTGCCGACGTAGGCATGGATTACTATTACAGAGTGTATTACAACGTGCTAATGCAAAACAGACCATGTCACCTAATGACTCTACCTGCGAATAGAACACACGCGCGCGCACACACAAACACACGCACGCTCACATTTACGTACGCTCGCACGCACTGACGCGCGTACGTATACACGGAGCACAGCTGCACGGAAAGGTGAATGCATACTTACATATGTACAGTACATGTACAGTACATGTACATGTACATGTACAGGTGCATACATACTTACCTATTAATGGCAATTGTCATGATGTTCAGTAGAGAGGCGATGCAGCAGACCAGACACACGACTGCCACGACGTCACACAGTGTATGGTAGCGATGAAAAAACTTGTAGCCCATTATCACTCCTTTTAAATGTAGAATTGTAACGACTTTACGTAAGACTAAAATATAATGATAGCATCTACACATCTGAGGGTAGTAATGGGTACAAGTCTAATTCGTAGGTTGCATGCATGAACTCTTATACCGTTTATTAGACATAATAACAGGGAAGAGAAATAACATTTTCACTACCCGTCTTGTTTTTCTCATGATATAAAATACCACATTTTCTATCATAATTAAGTCGGATTCGAGTCGGATTAGGAAGAAATGAACATGGTCAGCATGACGACATGGTTTCTATATACTGTACTTCATTTATTTATTATATTAATTATAGCAATAAGATTTCTTTGAGTTTTGCAAATAATGCAGTAAAAACATCAAGATCAATAATAAATAAATAAATGACTACTGCCTTTTTTAAATAAATTCCGTTAGCTTACCAATAAGAGAGAAAGGGTTGACCAGTGCCGCTACTCCAATATCCGCTATAGCCAGGTTCGCTATCAGCAGGTTAGAAGGCGTCCGCAGCTTTTTACTGATGCACACTGCCATTATAATCTTGGATAAAAAAAATCGTAGAATTCACTTCGCGCAAGTCCATTGCAACGTCGCACAATACTGCAAGTTAAACCCATCGTAATAAGAACCTTATGAATCCATATAGCGCATGGAAAGAACATTGTAGCTGGGATTCTGTGCACAAATATTGCTGCTATAGAAAATGCTCCTGTACATTTTTTCCCTACAGTAAACCCAATAGTTTGCCGCGTGCTATATAGCTATTAGGGCATTTAGCAGTCCTACATGCTAGCGTTACATACTGATTAAGCTGTGCTACGCCGTACAACGCTCGATGCAATCACGCAATAGAGTGTAAGGTGGTACTCAGATGATTTCGTACTCGTATCGGTATGTAACACTATGTGCTATTCGACAATCAAGCTCAAACGAAAAACCGCGGTCATTTGTGATTTATTTCTCGTTTTATAGCAATTGAATAGAACAAACGAATTCCTAATGGGCGGGACACCAATTTCGCTTAATGATTTCATAGCGCCATCACTTCGCGAGAAAAGCTTTATTCCCGTAATAACCACTAGTTATTTGACCAAAAGCCTTGTTAAGCTTTACTTGTTTGATGCACTAACCGTAATCAGCACTATACGTGGTTACTTTTTACTAGAACTCTACATACTTGACCTACGCACTCTATCAATCTTTGTATATAGTTTCTATATCAATCTTCAGTATTAGTGGAAGCATTACACCTGCATGCTGACCGAACCCAGAAAGAGGAGAGAAAGGAGGTGAGGGGAGAGACGGGCGAGAGAGAGAGAAAGAGAGAGAGAGAGAGAGAGAGAGAGAGAGAGAGAGCATTATGAATCGGAATTTCGTTCATCCAGCTGGCAGCGCACGTAAAATAAATGTGGTTACTTTTTACTAGAACTCTACATACTTGACCTCCGCACTCTATCAATCTTTGTTATCTCCAGATTCTCTCAGTTGTCTACTTTCTTCCATCTGCCCACTTCTTCTCAAAATACGCCCTCCTCTACCTTCTCCTACTCTTTTACCGGCTTTAACTCATTCGTCTTCTTCCTTCCTCGTCCTATTCCTCCTCTCGATACCTTTTCCCATTCATCTACTTCGTATATCTTTTCGACCTTCTACACGACTACCTCCGCCGACTCTCCTCCTAAACCTCCTACACCATATTTTCCTACTCTACTTTTCCTTTTATCTACCTTCTACCACCATCTGTCTTCTCCCACCCCGCTACCTCTTATGTTTCCTCTACCGTGTTCCATTTCCTTCCTCTTGTCACCATTACCCTGTATCTTATCTACTTTATCGCTTACTCTACCGTTTCCTCCATCTACCTCTTTATACCTTAATTCCCTTATTTCAAGCTCATTGCACTTTTACTTCTCTCTCCTTTTACTTATTGTACCTCATGGAGTTCCACCCCCTCTTATTCTACCCCCTTATCTTTTCTACCTAATCCTCACCATCTAACATTGCGTCGGTGTTTAGTATAGATTCAGCATAAATATGAAATTGTCTAAATATCTACGGCGATAGTTTATGGTTTTGTGCTGCTTCAGTATTAGTGGAAGCATTACACCTGCATGCTGACCGAACCCAGAAAGAGGAGAGAAAGGAGGTGAGGGGAGAGACGGGCTAGAGCGAGAGAAAGAGAGAGAGAGAGAGAGAGAGAGAGAGAGAGAGAGAGAGAGAGAGAGAGAGAAAGATAGCATTATGAATCGGAATTTCGTTCATCCAGCTGGCAGCGCACGTAAAATAAATCATGTCATCGACATGTCAGTGTTTTATTGGCATTCATGACATTTGTCATTATTAACCCCTGATTTTATTGACTACGCTGTGGTCACAATTAGCGAGCGGAGTGAGTTAGCTAGGAAGGAGCCCGAAGGCGGCTTCAGCTAATTTCCGCCTGACCCACATCATACACTAATTGCTGCCGGAAACATACCATTATATTTCCGAACGTGCCGAGAACTATCATCACGATCAACATTGCAATTAGCAGAGATGTAAGTACGATATGTTCGGTGAGAGGATCCAGAAAGTCCACGTTGTTTTCGCTAGCGGTTGGATTGCTGACCGCCGTACTGCTGTTGGTATAGTTGTAGACGTCGGGGACGACAACTGTTGTCGGCGATGCTGTAGCCATTGTGTAAACATGCAATCAACTGAAATGCGAAAAAAATTCAAAGCTTTTACTCACGTTCGCGATAAATGTTTGCTTATATGTACGTAAACACCCTATAGTGCTCTCCTTTTCACTCATCGTTACCGTATTTTTTCCGTACTTTCCGTTAGAGGCACTTTCAAGTAAAAAACGGACATGTATACGCGTTTTTTCCTCTTATAGACACCTTTATTCAGAGATATTCCAAACATTTTTTATCTCCGTTTAAAAAAAGTCCGTTGTTAATTTAAAAAACATTCTTTTTAAAACAACTACAATTATATAATCAACGTTCTTTTTCATCACAATCTATACAATGTCATGTGAATCCTCGTACATCTCTGCACACGTCTTGCTTTATATATTTTTATTTGTGTCGCTGTTCCTTACATGCTGTGTTACCAGCGTTACAATACTGACTAGAGCACTCGGAGAGCGCAGACCTCCGCCAAGGCAGCTCAATTCTGAAAGGCAGTGACTGTAAAAAAATTTTATTAATTAATTAATTAATTAA